AGAGCTAGGGCGGTCGGAAAGGGGAAGGGGCGGGGGGGCAGCAGAGACTCCCCCCCCCTTGCCCCTCTCGCGCGCCCCACGCGGTCGGGCCCCCGCCGCCCCTGCCGCCCCCACCACTCTGCCAACCCTCCAGACCGCGGCGGAGCGCGGAGCGGCGCGACGGACGTTGACAGAGGTGAGCCGCGGTGAAGGGCATCACACTATCACGCGGAGTGGAGCGGCAGCGGAGCGCGTGTGCGAGAGACAAGGAGCGATGAGCTTGTTTCCTTTCCTTCTTCTCTTATTTGCCTTTTTTTGGTTTTGTTTATGGGGCTGGCCATTAGCAGCCAGGTCGGGAGATGACCTCATTCGTGGATTTTGCATTTTTAACGGCGTCCTCTGGTTTGGTGTCTCCTGCCTTCTGCCCAGCCGACTATACCGCACCGTAAAGCCGTGTCTTTTCGGCAGGTATGATAAGCGCCGGTGCGGCTGGCTTCCGGTGAATTAAGATATCGCCTGCCCCACCTACCGGCCCTCCTACCGGCCCCCACTGGCCCCCACCGGCCCTCACCGCCCCCCACCAAGCCCCACCACTGGGCCCCCACATCGGGCTCGGCGCGGGCGTGCATGCGCATCCTATTTGCGGAAGTGAGAGGTGGGCCACTCAAATCGTGACTATTCGCAGAGAGCAAAATGGATAGTGGAGATAACGCTGCAGTTGGGGAGTAAAGGGGTGAAGGGGGGGGGGGGCGTTTCTGGCGGCGCCATGAGGCCGTTGGTGTCTGAACTCTGACCCTGATTGTGAGTGCAGGCGGAGAGGGGAGGGGGAGGAGTCCCCACGCCGTACTGCGCGAGCTGGTTATCAGCTGGCTGGGCCGCGGGGCGGCGCCCAGCTAGACGCGCAGGTGCTCGAGCTCCCTTCACTTCCAGATGTGGCCGTTGGACTGGGTGGTGCTCGTGACGCTCATCCTGACCCCAGCGGCGCTCGGGATCTGGCGGGCGCTGCTCCACACTGCTCGAGGACGCCGCCATGGTGACGACGCCGACCCCACGAGGGGCGACGACGGCGGCGTGGCCCCCAAGGCTGCTGCGGCCCGCCCCGCTGCGGCCAAGTCCATGGGCGTCGTGACGGTGGGGCTGTCGCTGCTCGCCAGGTAAGGATGGCGACCACAATGTGGCCATACTATGGACACCATGCCTTACTGTGACCACACTGTGACCACACACTGCGAAGCCTTGAAGACGCCGACGCTCACCGTTTGCCGTGCGCTAGACCTGGGGATTAATTATTAGATTTGGGCGGCGGAGGTAAAGCAGCAGGGGAAGGCGGTGCGAACAAAAGGGCGCCCGCTGCCGCTTCCGTCGTGGACCTAATCCAGTTACAGGGGCTGAGCCGCGCTGGAAGCCGCGCGGAACCTCCCCGGAACCCGGCTTTGGACAAGTTTATGCTTTTGCAGCGCAGCGACGCGGTGCGGCAGGTCAGGGTCCGTCGAGGCCCTTGCGGAGGTGCCTGCCTAGCCCAGTCCACGCACCACCGAACCTTTTTATATTTTAGGTAGACACTACACGCCATCACAACTATAAATGCAACCGTTGCATTTATTTTTCGAACATGACAGACAGTGAAGACAGATATTAGGAGGGAACATCTTCCCGCATTGCTTCGCATTTGGGAACGCCTGAGCGGTAGGCAACACGGTGGCAGGCGTGTGTTGTATGGCCTACCTCACAGGCGTCCGTGCACGCGCACTAGCACGTCCCGTGTAAACTTCCAACCAGAGCAAGGGCTTGTCGTTGTGCAGCAACCTCTCCGGCATCACGCTGTTGGGCTACCCGGCCGAAGTGTACCGCTACGGCACCCAGTTCTGGATGGTGGCCGTCGGCGCCGTGCTGGCCACGGCCGTCCTGTGCGTCGGCTACCTGCCGGTGCTGCACGGCCTACGGCTCTCCTCCTCGTACGAAGTACGCATAAGGTGATGAAGGTGCAGGTATGGGGGCGGGCCCGGGGCCAGGACGACCCAGTGTGTTGTATACCGTGCGTGTGTTTGTGCTTTGTGCTGCAGTACCTGGAGCTGCGCTTCGACGCCAGGGTGAGGAAGCTCACGTCCATCATGTACACAGTCCGCCTGGTGGGTATACAACAACCGTGCCCTGCTCTCAGCAACACAATCCTATTTGTTAGGCTGATCTTTTCTAACAAGATACTTTCTTTTGACTAGTTGCTGCTGCTGCCGCTCGTGCTGTATGTGCCCGCGCTGGCTTTCACCCAAGGTTTGTTGAGGTTGATCCTCTGCCTCGGCTTCGGCCCAGCCCAGCTCGGTCCTCTTGACCTACTGCTCCAGGTTTCTTTTCTGTGCTCGGCAGTGACCGGGATGGGCATCCGCATCATCGCGCCGGCCATCAGCGTCGTGTGCATCGTCTACACGACCGTGGTGAGTATGGGCTGCGGGGCGAACGAGAAGGAGGGAGGAAACGAGAGAGTGAGGGTGGTGAGGGAGAGGGGGGCAGGGTCGACGGCAGCCGGCCGACACAAGTAGTTCCTCTGCCCTTCTCCCCCGCCTCCGCCCCCCGCGCGCGCACCCACCCAACCACAGAAATTTCGCCTTGCTTTGGGCTCTCGCCGTTCCCGCCCTTTCTCGGCCCCGTCAAAGTTTCCGTCGCGCGGTGCGGCGCCCACAAAGCTTGCGCGCGCGAAAAGCTGAGGGAATATAAGGAAGGATCCACACCAACTTGGAGGCGGGCGGGGCAACGGCCGCTCTCCAAGTTAAGTCCGCTAGCCCGCCGCTGAGGGGCGGCCTGATGCCTGGGCCGCCCCATTCTTAGCACGCCGTTTGAACACTGCGCCGCCCCCGCCGCAGCCCCTCCACCAACACGGCGCAGCGACGGCCGCAGCAGGGCGCTCCCATTGGCGGACACTCTCAGTGCGCCGACTGGCATCCCGGAACCGAAGCGCCGCGCGAGACGCGGTCGAGCGATCACAAAGCTGAATCGCAGAGTGAGAGCTAGGGCGGTCGGAAAGGGGAAGGGGCGGGGGGG